TACCAATATTCAGACCTGTCATTTCAAATAACGCTATCAATTTGCTACATTTACAATTTGAGAGTAGGAATAAAACTGGCAATGAAAAAGGGCCAATATAAGAAAAGGAAAAAGCTATCCAAGGGGGGGGGGGGAGGAAAGGGCACAAAGAATGAGTGACTTTGCTTTGCCATAAAAAAGGTTACAGCCACTTAAAGTTTGAGAAATTTACAGAATTGTTAACAAGTCTAAGAAAGTTCAATTGTTGAGTTAATTTCCAAAAAAAACATGCATATCATGATGAGAAAATCATTTTTTTTTCATATTTGCAAATTATACTTATTAAATCCTCAACAACTTACATGTAGGCATTATTTGTTTCGATGGCAACATTTTATCAATCTACCTGTGGCATGAATATGTTTACATTAATAAATATTCCAATCTTACCACACATCTATCAATGCCGCCTTAATAAGTCAAGACAGGGCCGTCAATTTCAGAACGTGTGCTGCATTTAATTAAGAGCATTTTAAATGACACGCATGTGTAATGGATACGTCAAGACGTCAACCCTTTGCATTAATAATGTGCAACCGTTTAATGTCAAGGAATGTACATGTACATGTACAGCCTCTAAGGGAAATCTTCATACATATATGTACATGTGCATTCATGTCATTTGTATTGTGCCTACCAGCGTATGTTCACACTTAAATTCAGTTGAACGACGTGCTTTCAACAAAATAAAACACAGATTTATGTACATGTATTTGGGTAATTCTATAAATTTGGGGTCCACAAGTGTGACACTGTAGTGTCCCTGCTACACCTGAGATTTGTGAAATTTGCCATACAGGTACCATTAAAATTGACTTCAAACTATTTTTATTTGTCATGTTTGTTGGGCAGGAATTTTGCTTTTCATAATCTCTCTTGAGGATAGAAGGCATTAACGAATGTGTTCTGAATTTACAAAATCTTATTTCTGGGACACAAAAAAAAAACACTTCGGACCCAAAATTTATGGAATGCCCATGAAAGTACTTAAAATTAAGACAGGAACATGTACATGTACCAGTATAAGATTTGCCTGTGAAATAGTGACTGCGGTTTTGTCTTTTCTGTATTGGGTGGAAGCTGCAATCTTGCATTTAGTTTAGGAATAAGGTCACCCAAAAAGCATCACAGATGACCAAGCTAGGTATTCGGATATCCAAATGAGGCATGAGGGGCCCGCAGGCATGGGAAGGATTGACAATTTCAAGATGAAAACTGGAACTACATGTTCCGACCAGCACTCATTTTGAATAGTTAATAAACTCCCAATTAAAAAACAATCTGGATCAAATAGCAGACAAGAGAAAGCATTTATGAAACCTGTTGGTCACCTCTAAGAAATTTTGGTTTTGAAACATATCACAAAGTTTTGGTTGACTGAATCAATTTCATGTAATGGGAACACAATAGAGCACACAGATCTTGATAGTAATAAACCGGATAAAACCGAAAGTAAATTCAAGATCAGTAAAATGCAAATAAAAGTAAAAATGAAAGTAAATGCAAAAAAAATGTAATACCCTGGTTTCGGTTTTCCTTGCCGAAGCAATAGCATCCTGCACATTTATTTCCATTAGTTTGGAAAGCAAAAGATTAAGATTTGAATTATGAGAGCCTTGAGAGGGCAATACACACTTAGAAAGTAGTTTGAATTATTTATATATTTTTATACAGGCATCTACTATTGGAGGAAAATGAACATAACGGTATGTGACAGGGAATAAAATTAGTATGCGAGGCACGTGCATGAACATGAAGGATTCCTGTCGGCACATTCTCAATGCCACTTGGAAGCCGCTGTGTGCATGTGATTTGCAAAGAGGAGCCTGACAAATCTTGATGGGCTGTTCCACTTCAAGCATAGGGGTTGTCTTGTTTGGAGGTGGCGTGTTCTGATCCATATGGTTTAAAAAAAATCTGAGTGTAATCAATCTTCTTTAAAGGTCATACCGGTACACAACATTTGCAAACATTAAACACAAAATTTACCAAATTATTATGAAATACCTTACTGGACTGTAAGTGAATATTAGTCTCAAGCATCCTGTGAAATCATGGCAACCTGGTGTGCTGTCATTTTCAAGAAAAGTGGAATTTTTGTATCAATTTCCAACGATGGTCAGCCGACCATCATTGGAAAAAAACTGACTTTTTTTCAAATACTGCCCCAAAATTACCAAATTTAGTTACCGGTAGTCCACAATTTGTTTGCAATGAGTTGCACATCCGTGAACGGATGCAAGCCAGCTAGTCTGGTTCCCTGACTTGACAATTCCCCAACTTCTATAATTTGCACCGTTTCGTAGGGTCAGGGAACCAGACTACAAAAACAGCATCTTTGCTTGGTTTTCTTTTGGGGGGAGGGGGGGGGGGGGTGGGGAACGGGAAAAAAGCACCTACCTCCTTTATTTTTTCTAAAAGGCCAGACGAGAAACTAGTTTGTTTTTACTCGGCAAGGGTTTCACAAACACCAGATTAATTCCTCTTCGTAAAAATCATTATTTTTTCATAATGCACTGCTCATCAAGACCAATATTTATTTTCACATATTCACATGATGCATGGTGAATGTTTGCAGTACTGGCTAGTAGTGGCAGTCATCCGAAAGGGCAAGATTGCCGTTTGCGACGATCATCAATTTTTGATGGACTTGACACTCAATAAAACATTATGAAAAGAGCCAGCAAAAATCCAAAGTGTATGGTAATTCGGGGGGAGGGGGGGGGGGAGTGATTTAAAAGAAAAACACATTTAATTACAAAGATACAATTAGGGCCAAAGAAAAAAGTGCTGTGTTTTTAGTACTCCAACTGACCCGAAACATTTTTGGTGTACATTGGGTCAACAGTTGATCTTTTTAAAATTTTCTTGGTGATTTTTTTTTTTTTAATCATAGACATGAATTGTTTTGGAAGAGAAATATTCTCCAACTCACAGACTGGAATACTTTAAGTAGATGCATATGCAGCAAAGTACCTCTTAAAAGTATACATCTATTTGTCCAGTTGTCCTACATTATGTACATTTATACATACATGTACATGTATGTATGTACATGCAGTGTGCATGGGTACACCTGTGTAAATGGCAATGTAACAGGAAATGCAACATTAATTTTGGGGCCTAGTTTATCCCTCTTTGAGTTCCTGCAAAGAAAAGGCATCACCAATGTACTTTGATAGTTGTCCTCCCCCAACCACCATCTCTCTAACAACACTCCTCCCTAGCACCCACCCCCAACCATTTTGACCAATCAGCGGGGGCTTTCTATGTCGGGTCATTCATCCGTTGTCGCGTCTAGACATGGATAAAAAACAAAAACGCTAGACACAGCAACAAAGGCTGTTGTCACGTGCTCTGTGTACTGTGTTATGTTATGCGACACGCGCCCTGCTGTGGCTGTATTACAAAACACTGCATTCGAATTGACCAATCACAGTTTTAGTCCTGATTTGGGAATGAAATGACGTCACAATTTTAGTAAAATCGACTCCGATTGGCTGGCACGCGGCTTGCATATTTCTGCATGTTTAGACATATCAGACGTTATACAGGAGACTTGGCTCCGTGGATAACAGGTGATACTCAGACTAGTACCTACCTATATCGCCCAAATGTCAGGGGAGAAAACAAATTCACTTTGCAATATATTTCAGAGTATAATCAACAGAGGGCGCCAGATAGATTCTACACAAAAACAAGGCTGAAAAAAGAAATTTTTATTCTTTTGCCTTTATCTTGCTTTATCAACTAACTTTAAAGAGGTCATAAAATGAATTTTAAACTAAACCATAATTTGTGCAAATATTCATTCCTGTGAAGTGTATAAAAGACCCTTTCCTTACATTTTCAAAATGTAAATTCTTTCTAATGTGATTTTAAAATGTTAATTCTACCTAATCTCTTTAGAGACATCAATAAAGACCTAGATTAGATGACAAACAACTTAGTTAAAGTCAGCATTTCAATGACGAAGAAACCGCTGCTTTAAATCCCTGTTGCTGCTAAATGTTCAATATGTCATTGTTATTGTTCATTTTTCAGAAACTGTTTTTCCTTTCAAAATTGCATTAACCAAAACTATGGATCTATCTTTTTGTAAATTCTATCTGCCACTGCCAGCCTAATGAAAGCAGGGGTTACAGAGAAACTATGCAACGTACTTAGACTCCAGAATTGGTTACATGTACTTCATTCAAAAGTGAATGTAAGTCAACTTTCATGACATCATCATTGGATGGTTATACCAAAATCATAATAAATTCATTTCAATTCAAGTTTATTTAGAAGAAATCAACAACATGTACTGCACTTTGGTTTCCTCTAAATTCTGCATGGATGATTACAGCCTAATCCGCCTTTATTTTTACACAAATAACATGCTACATACATGCTATTGAAAACTACATGGATCATGCCCATGAAAATCGAGTTGAAAATATATCAATTGCCATTTGAAGTGGATATTGGCTAGCTGCAAAAAAAAAAGAAAAAAAAAAGGCCCTCATGCTCTTCCTTTCGAAAAAAAACACACGGATATATCAGAATATGACATAAAACAGTCGTATACAATCTGGATGGTATTGTGGGGTTGGGGACACGATCCAAATAATATCTTGAAGTGACCGCATGGTGGCGATGTTTAAGCCAGGAAGAAAATGTGTATGCATGAGGCAATGAAAAGACAGTTGTTTTGGTTGACATGTGGATAACAAAGGTCTCCTAAGTTTCAGCCAAAATATACGTAAGTAGTTAATATCTCTGGTTTTATTTATCATTCAAGTACTGGAAAATGTTCAGCAACTATTATTATCCAGGTTTTAAGACAGTTCTCGCTGTTTTGAGGAATATATTGCAAATGACATGGTTCTGAAAGAGATGTGCAATAGCTAGATCATGGTCATGACTGCTGTGCATGCCATGAACTGATCACGAAGTGAATAAATACAATTTTTACAAACCTGCTCTTTTACTTTTTGAAATTACTCTCCCCGATTTTCTGACATCGCCACCTCCACTTGAACTTTCAACTGCACTGAAGCTTACAATAGATGCTTTAGAATTCTTTGCAGTTTTGCTCTTGGGTCTGTGAACAATCTCTTCGTCTTCTGCAGCAGGATTTGATGGAGGTACGCCAGCTCTCAGTGCTGTGGAGGCCGCCATTTTGTGTGTCCTTGATGGAATTTCTCCGGTTGGACTACTGGTGGCGCTTTCCTTATTTTACGTCCAGTCTGGTGCTTGCATGGGTGCTTGGTGGTAACCAGACTCCATTATAAGTTTGCACGTGGAGGCTCTATTAAAAAAAAATGTAAAAACGCAGTTGATGTAGAAAGAACGTTTCGTTAGTGAGTGGTTCACCCTTTGATCGAAAGAGTTATCAGTTGGAAATCATTAAATAAAGAACTGAGTATGTAGCTACTTTTCCCCTTCGTTTTCATGTTGATATGGGATTGGGAATGAAAAACTTTCTGGCTTTTTAAATTAAATTACGTTTCTGACAGTACAGACATGACATTGTTTTTGACGAGGCAAACCAATCTCAGCAATTTGTACACAAAACTATTTTATGAACCAGTCAAAATGTTGATTCACAATAAGTTCATTTGTTTCCGCCTTTTTTTCAGTTTCACATTGGAACTGTAAGTGTAAGAGTAGGACCAAGACAGAGCCAGTTTCATTAATAGTCACCAACCAATCAGAATTAAGATCATATTTAAACTTGACACAGGCTCTCACATCCAATCAGATTCATTCTTTCATCAGTCTTAGACTTACGTATGACTCACTAAGTCTTTAGTCATCATTAACTTAAGAGTAAGAGTTAGGCTTAGCCCTAGGCCTAGCCTAGAGTTAGTGAATATATTTATTTCCACTTTCCAGATAATTTCATTTTGATGAATGGATTGTCAGAAATAGTAACTTTTGAAAGATGTTTGAATGATTTCATTTCCCTATTTTAGTGTTTATGCACTGCATTTAATTGGGGGAGGGGATCAAGGACAACGGTTAAAAACTTGTTCTTCAAAATACTAAAATAACAGCTAGCTGACTGGTTGTGTGGAACAGATAGATAACTTTCAAAAAGAATTGTGGAAATATCAAAAGTGAAATCATGTGTGAGTTTTTAATGTCCGGTTTGAATAAAATCTCTGCTTTATTTCCTTTGCAGTGTTTTTCATGAGCACGATCTTGACCAAAGATGGATCCATTTCAGAGAATTTTAACAACAGACACAGGAAGCGAGTGGGACACTTTGCATGAAAGTGACAATGAAAGCGAGCGATACTCCAGCGGAGACGAAATTGGTGAAATAGAGGAGGCCCTCCTGCAAAGAATACACTATGCTGAGGACTGCGGTGAGGACTTCGACTCCGCCCCCACAGAAGGAATTACAGATACATTCCTACACTTCAGAGGAGACCATGTCGCCCAAATCACAGTCGCAAATCTCGACATTGAATCAGAAAGGACGAATGTCAACACCGAGAAAAAAGATGTGGTTAACATTCCTGTGAAAGGGGAGAGTCTGACGTCTGTTAAGGTTGAGAAAAGTTGGGAACCTGCGAGTGATAGTCCCTTGACTGTTTCAGATGATTCCACAAATGTAAGAGAGTCTTCCAAGAAGCAAATGGCAACACTAAAAAATGAGAGTCCCATTTGGAACAGACACGGTTCTGATTCGGAGAGTGAGTCTAAATATAAGGCTATCAAGTCCAGAAAGACGTCTAGCAAAAAAGCAGGAAACAATTCCAATTCGGTGATTGATATTTCTTCTAGTAGTGATGGGACAAAGGATTGGTCGGGGGAAAATGAAAAAATGAAGAACTTGGTGAGAAGCGATGTCGATATTGTCTCAATCAATTGCAGAGAAGGCGATTCAGATGTGGGCTCAGTTAGCGACTCTGAGATTGTTTTCACGGACCAAATATCCGAGAAGCCAGAACAGTCCATACCACCAATGACAAAACGCCAGTGGCGGAAATCAAAAGAAGATCCTAGCATTCCAGCCGAAGCCTCAAAGAAGATGAAACTGAAAAGAACTGTTGCAGAATTGAGAACCATTTTAGACGAGGTGAAGGACAGCTCCAGCGAAGATGATTTGTCTGACATGATGGTGATTGAATCGCATAGCGAAGATGAAGCATTAGATGTGAACTACGATTCCACCCCCGCAGAGGGGAGGGGTTACAATCAGGTGAGGTCATGAGGTCATACAAGTTCAAAAGGTCGTACAAGGTCATGTAGTTTTGTGTTTGATTTCTACTTCGACATTGAGGCACAGGATATCTTTAAAAGATTCACATCCCACACAAACGTGTTTGCAGTACTTTGCCAAAAGGTCGTAATTCTATTTGTTAATTAATTCACCTATTCCGTTTCTTCCTATGGGTTGCAGGATCAGTCTTATGAGCGCAGCAGATCCAGAGGGCGCTATTACCAAGAGCCGGAAAATTGGCCGCGTTACAAGTGCTACAGCTGTTTGGAGTTCGGTCACATGACCAGGGACTGTCCGAAACCAAGAGTACGTAATGCCAAAAATTTAAGGAAAACCTTAATTACAATATCGCTAAACTTTTTTAACATTTATAAACAAAAACATATTTGCGTCAATTTTGTTTTGCCATTTCCATGTTCTTTACAGCAACGAAAGGTAGTGACGTGTGTGCTGTGTGGTACCCAGGGTCACAATGACCGACAATGCCCTGATGCCCTATGCTTCATTTGTAGTGAGCCTGGGCACCAGGCTAGAGAATGCCCCAATAAGAAACTACAGTACCTGACTTGCCATCGTTGTTCAATGAAGGGACATACAGTACAGGTAGGAACTATTTTCAAGTTTTTTCATTATCAATTTAATGTTTTAAGTACTTTTTTCTGAGTGCTTTTCAAGAGCTTTTGAGGAGAAACCTCACAAGCTTGCTGTAGTGGAACTTCAAAAAAGACATTCACTTCATTTTTCTGTATCTAATCAAACTCTTTTTATAAAATAGAAAGTTTAGTACTCCTGTAACTCCCTAGGGGGTGTGCAAAATCGTATTGAAATTGGAGGATTCAGGACTGTTAGGGCTATTATCAATTTGCAAAGGCCTTTTAAATATTTTAGTGCCGATTTTTAACGTTATTAAGATTTCACGACAAATTTGGTGCATTATGAAAAATATGAAGTTGATCATTTCATGAAACTGTGATCATTTATAGTCTAAGTAATTTTGCTTTTCGTTTTTTTTCTTCTAGCAATGTCCTGATAGATGGCGCCAGTATCACCTGACAGTAAGTGTCGAAAATCCATTTCAATATTTTATGCTATGTGCAGTAGACTTGGCTCCTATTGTTAAACTTCTGACACCACAGTAAAGCCTGGCTGATTCTACAACGCTAAAACGGCTGATCACCACAAAGCCAATTGTGTTAGGCCGAGTAAAAAAAAAAATGGTTTCTCGTCCGGGGTTTTTGAAAAAAGGGAGGTAGCGAGGCTTTTTATTTTAAATTTTTTTCAAGATGACCGCCTTTTCAAAATGTCCTGCAACTGTTGGTGTTCCACTGTTCAAAGACACTTTTAAAGATGAAAGACAAGTTGGACAAGAGAACTGAACATATTTACAGTGTCATTTAGAGTTGTATTGGTATTGGTATTTATTTTCCGATGAATTTGTAGACTTTTCGGTGTTTTTCTACTACATTTTTCAAAAATAAAAAATAATAAAAAAAATCCAGGCGGCCTCCAAAAGGGAAGCGGGCGGGGACGAGAAACTTGTTTTTTTTTTTTTACTTCGCCTTATGAGCTTGTTAAGCAGGTGGAATACTCATACATGTAGAGTGTTTCTTTCTGGGTATAGACAGAGCCGGGCAAGATCCAATTTGAAGAATCAAGGAAGGAAAACCAGCAGTTACTGGCAGTGAACGGCAAAGTGTTCTGCTACAACTGCAGTAAAGAAGGTCACTTTGGACACGTAAGTACTCTGATCAGTCCAAAAATCTTAGCCCCTCAATGTTACTCTGCCCAGGAGTCAATGGGTACCTGTGAGGGCAGAGATGGTTATTGTGGTAGATATTAGCTGCTTGGCACTGAAATGGCAGCATTGAGCTGTATTCTCCCCAGGGAGCTGAGATGGTATTAGGAATGTTTCATTGACCCAATGAGCAGGGTAATAATGATGTAGCGTCTTGAGCACCAATATTGGTGGATACATGCGCTTTATAAATATACATAATTATTATTATTGTTCTGTAGTCGGAAGTTCAAAGCCATCAGTAATCGGTTTCTACAGGATAATTTTTAAAACAAAATGCATATTGAATTTCTGTTCATTTTATGGCTCCTTTAATCTTCCAGGAATGCTGGGAAGAGCCCATGAACAGACGTGCCCCACTGATCCTGCCCTACGTGGTCCGATACGACCAGATCCCACGCAGGTTTTGGAAGGTACAGATGGATGCTACCGAGCCGCCGGAAAATGCCAGAGGGTTCAACGACCGTGGACCTGATGCGGGGGTAGACGTTATAGCGCCCTCCATGCCTCCCAAGAAGGAGAGGAAGAAAACAAGAATGAAACGACTAAGAGCAGGTGAGTAATTACTCTCTGAATGAGTTCTTGAGTTTGACTTTGAGTAAAATGAAGTATTGTGTACGATCCCTTCCAGCTTCATGCCCAGCAAACGATCCAGGCTATGCTAGAAGTGGATATTTCTGTTGTTGCATAAATCTACTTGTTCTTTTTCCCCAAGTTGACAGTGATAAAGTGTTTTGCCAGTGACTGTCAAAAACCCCATGCTTGTTTTTTTTTACAGGATTTCAATTTAGTGAAAAATGTTTTGTAAAAAGGGGGCAAAGAAACAGATCATCTTGTAGTGAGTGGTTGCCATTTTTACCGTTACATAGTCCTATTCTGTACCAGTGCCACTGATAATGTAATCATTTTGATAACACATGTTTTGTATCATCACGTTCTTTTCAGCCATAAATTATCCAGTTTGTTTCCAATTTGTTTTCTGGTTTTTCATTCTGTCTTCATTAGAAAAACTTGCCGCGGCGGTAGCAGTAGCAGCAGCAGCAGCAGCAGCCCTAAATCAAGACAAGGAGACTAAAGAGCCCTCCACATCCAAGAAGAAGGGAAAGAAAGCCAAGAAGAGAAAGCTGGAACAGACGGGTGAGAACGTCAAGACATGTTGGGGAAAGTTGTCCTCATCGATGTGGCTATTAACCTGACCTCCCTAGGCCTTTTTGCTAGGATTTAGCCTCAATCCTGCAAAATCCTCCAATTGGCCTCATGGAAAAATAGCATATAGCCTCAATCCTGCAAATTCCTCCATTATTTCTTGAATATGGTCCGTGGAGGGATGACCACTGCCTGAATCCTGCCAAATCCTGTGGCAGTGACTGTCAATATGTTGAGGCTTGGCCAGTGACATCCTGGAGCAGTACGGAGGATTTCAAGCATAATCCAGGCCTATATTTATGCTGAGCAAAAACAGCACAAGGTCAAAAGACCTTGACAAAGTGCATCCTACGACATCAGTAACTCACTTTTGCCATGTAACCTCAATCCTGAAAATTCCTCCACTTTGACAATAAAAGAGGATTTTGAAGGATTCAGGGCAGTTAGGGTTAAAGTCAGACGAGGGTTAGTAGCTCATTAGACAGCAACAGTTCAATTTGATTTTTTTTTTTTTTGTTCAACAGAATCGATAGCCGTGGACAGCAATGATCACGTCGATGAACAAGTCATCAAGAAGTGTCGGAAGAAGAACAAAGAAGAGCTTGAAGCCGATAAGGTAAGATGATGAAAATCACATTTTTCCCCTTGGTTTTTCCTCTGAATTCTGCTGTCAAGATTTATCACCTAAAATCTTACAACTCCAAAAGGCTATAATGATGTGTTAAGGTAGCGTCCATCATTTGTAATTTGTGCATTATGTCCGTTTGAAGCAACAAAAGTGCTCAAAATCTCAAGAAGGGCGCTGAACAACTAACCTGATGAAGTTTCAGCTCAGTGAATGCTGTATATTCCGAGAAAACAATATTTTATAGGATCTCGATTTCAAATCAAAAGTTGCTGAGTCATATTTTGAATTGGGCCTAAATTAAAAAAACGAACTGCTAACGGAAATTTTCAACGATGTGTCTTTTCATTGATTTCTTCAAAATGCCTGCTTACCGGGAAGAATAATTTCACAGGGAGTTTTGTCCCTTACCATCTTTAAACCAAGTATACTTTTCAACAACTTTACTTTTCAGCTAGCTGCAAATGATGGACTGTACCTTTAAGAAAGGCTTCATGGAAATTATTTGAATAGGTCATCCTCTTTGACCCTAGCTCATTTTGGCTTATTTAGATACCACATAACACCCTTTTGGGGGTTCGTTACTCTCATCATGAAAATGTATACATATCACTTAATGCCACATAGTAATTGTATGGGCATGGACTTCTGCACCCGTTACATGTACAGTATACCACAAGTTGCAGTGAGGAAAAGCAGTAGTTACCGGAGTTGGCAGCTTGCCATTTGTCAGTGTCGTTGGTTGTGTGGCACTAGTCAGTCACCATGTCGGACGTGCCATGGGGCCAATGATCCCACCCAAAAGTCACGATCCTTGAAACTTTTCTTACTAACAGAAGCTACGAAAAGAGTTGGCAACCGTCCCCAGGGCTGAGAGAAAACGGATAATTAGGAAGAAACACGTAAAAAGCAAATGGGAGGCCCTCAAAAGAGAAGAAATTCTGACCGACTACGAAGAAACCGAGGAGTATGTCCGGAAAGGGGGACACATCCTAAGAAAGAGAAACAATTCGGTGAGGGAGGCGATTGCAATACAACTGGCACAGCCACGGGTGGAAACACAAACGGCACCTGTGGGGAAAAAGAAGAAAAAGAAACCAAAACAGTCGAGGAGTGAAAAAAGGGCCTGGAAGAAATATCAACAGGAACAGAGGTTGCAACAGCAACAGCAGCAACAGGTCTCTTTCAACTTCACTTTTGAACAGTTTCCCGAGCTGGAGCGAAAGTTTGTCACGCAAAATCAGGACAATCAACAACAGCAGTTCCATCAAGAAGTATATTTCAGCTCCACGCCTGTCGTTAATCAGAGCAAAGGTGGAGGTGCCAAGAAGAACAGACGGAAACCAACACAGAAAACAAAAGGCGGAGGACCCAACGTTGGGCATACAAACTTCCAAGGTTAGTTTTAATTGCAAAATGTGGGTTCGGGGCCAACTTTGAAACTTGGCTATTTCTAGAAATAGTTCTACTGAGTAGAACTAGAAGTTGTACAAGGCCTCCTTGTGCCTTCCACAGGTTCCAGCACTATTATGAATGTCATATCCTGACACGCATTTGGAAACCACTTAGCCCATGTGTTTTTGGAAGAAATGAATGATATTTTCAGTGAGATAAATCGTTGTCCCTCCAAAATCCAGAAGGTCTCTGAAGATTTTGCAGGAATTCAAAAAAGGTTCAGCCTTACCACCCTGTTACCATTTGATACCAAAAGAGTGATTGATTTTGGACAATTAAGGATGGCTCCGAGAAAACATGCCAGAAGAGATGGGTTACTGAAGATGGCCATTCATATTTTAATTGTACAAATGTTGCTATCCATACCAACAGGTTATAATCCTCAGCTCAACATACCCACGGCCCCCGATCAAACATCCACCAAACCAATGTCCAAGAGGCAGCAGAAGAAGCGAGAGTATTACAGGAGACTGGAACTGAAGTGGGCGCAAAAGCAAGCAACCAGGCCAAGTTTCAAGTCGGAGCGTGGATTCAAAGTGGAGCCCAAGTACTAACGGCAGTATTGGGAGGCTTTCGACGCTAATTATAAGGCCCGTCTCAATTCTCATCTGGGACGAGTTCCGGACAAGTTGCGGGCAGAATTGTTAACTTTTTAAGGCAGAAGCTCTGCATTTGTCCCAAACAATTTTCATTAGCGGCTGCTTAAATCACCAATGATAACTTCATTGTGAGAAGATTGTGGGGAAGTTGTTCAGAATCCTGCAACTTATACCTGGTATAATGACCACTACTTATTCGGAACTTGTCCTAGATATGTCTTGAGTTGGAACATGAGGCAATTTTTACAGGCAACTTGAAGGCCATCGAATGCACTTCCAAGCCAAAACAGTGTTTGGGAAAAAAACAGGTGCATTTTCAACTTTTGATGGAAAGACCTCGGGAAAAAAAAACAGGAATTAAAATTAAGCTGTTTGCCTTTCAATTGCCTCATGTGACACAATTCTAACTAAAGGCCATGTCAAAGCTTCTTTTGGGGACATGAAAAGTAATTGATACATTTGAACATATTTGTAACCCATCATTATGTGATCCCCAAGCCTTGATAGTTTGTTCCTAGAGTAAGAACTCAATGTGATGAAATTGTTACATCTGGGCAATGTGAAATTTATTGACCGGTTTTGCTTCTGTAAATATAACTTAATTGAAACAATTATTTGTTTGCCCATATATTTATGGTAAAAGTTGTTTAGCAACCTATATTTTGATGAAAGCTCCATAAAGCTTCATACAAATATAGGCAGAGATTTGTTCATTTTTTTTTTCATATAAAAAATATCATTATTACAGACCACTTCAATAAACAATTGCGGTAATAATTCAGAAAATATTTTATTTTAGTGGATGGCTGCAAATTAATGGTTAGAACTTTAAACATAAAATGGTAAACCTAATCTTTAATTTTTTTTGTCTTTCTTTTTTGCTGGAGTTGGGATCATGGTTGATCACTTTTTCATGGCACACTCGCATAAATGGGTTAATTTTCACTAATGGAAAATGCTAGATTGCAGACAAAGTATGATTCACGTACCTATACATGTCACATAGAATAAAGCGCATGTAATGTTTTTTGTGCGTGCTTTGCCATTCACAAATTTATGCAGTCTTTTCCAGCAATTAAAACTGCACACTAGTGCTCAAGTTATTCACTCGAATGTTTGAAATTATTTGCTTTATTTTTTCCGTTTACATTTCACCTTTACCTGGGCCAATTTTGCCGGGGAAAAATTAAAAGCTGCATTACAAACGAGTTGATGGGAAGTGGCTGTAGGCCGGGTTTTGTCCCGTTTTGGTTAAAAATGCAAGGCTAACCTCTAACAGTTTTGAAATTTTTATAAAAATGGAGTTTTGTCCCGTTTTTGTTAAAAAGCAAGGCTAACCCCTTACCAGTTTGAAATTTGAATAAAAATTGAGTTTTGTCCCGTTTTTGCAAAAATGCAAGGCTAACCCCTTATCATTTTGAAATTTGGATAAAAATTGAGTTTTGTCCCGTTTTGTCAAAAATGCAAGGCTTGCCCCTTACATTTTTGAATTTTGATAAAAAATGAGTTTTGTCCTTTTTTTGTTAAAAATGCAAGGCTAACCCCTTATCATTTTGAAATTTGGATAAAAATTGAGTTTTGTCCCATTTTGGCAAAAAATGCAAGGCTAACCCCTTACAGTTTTGAAATTTGAAAAAAAAATTGAGTTTGTCCCGTTTTGTCAAAAATGCAAGGCTTACCCCCTACAATTTTGAATTATGATAAAAATTTAGTTTTGTCCCGTTTTGTTGAAAATGCAAGGCTAACCCCTTACAGTTTTGAATTTTGATAAAAATTTAGTTTTGTCCTGTTTTGTTAAAAATGCAAGGCTAACCCCTAACCATTTTGAAATTTGGATAAAAATTGAGTTTTGTCCCGTTTTGTCAAAAATGCAAGGCTAACGCCTCACCATTTTGAAATTTGGATAAAAATTGAGTTTTGTCCCGTTTTGTCAAAAATGCAAGGCTTGCCCCTTACAATTTTGAATTTTGATAAAAATTTAGTTTTGTCCCGTTTTGTCAAAAATGCAAGGCTAACCCCTTACAGTTTTGAATTTTGATACAAATTTAGTTTTGTCCTGTTTTTGTTAAAAATGCAAGGCTAACCCCTTGCCATTTTGAAATTTCGATGAAAATGGAGTTTTGTCCCGTTTTGTCAAAAATGCAAGGCTAACCCCTTACCATTTTGAAATTTAGATACAAATGAGTTTGTCCCGTTTTTGCAAAAAAGATGCAAGGCTAACCCCCTACCATTTTGAAATTTTGATAGAAATTGAGTTTTGTCCCGTTTTTGCAAAAAATGCAAGGCTTACCCCTTACAGTTTTGAATTTTGATAAAAATTGAGTTTTGTCCTTTTTTCGTTAAAAATGCAAGGCTAACCCCTTATCATTTTGAAATTTGGATAAAAATTGAGTTTTGTCCCGTTTTGTCAAAAATGCAAGGCTTACCCCTTACAGTTTTGAAATTTGGATAAAATTTAGTTTTGTCCCGTTTTGTCAAAAATGCAAGGCTTACCCCTTACAATTTTGAATTTTGATACAAATTGAGTCTTGTCCCGTTTTGTCAAAAATGCAAGGCTAACCCCTTACAGTTTTGAATTTTGATAAAAATTTAGTTTTGTCCTGTTTTGTTAAAAATGCAAGGCTAACCCCTTATCATTTTGAAACTTTGATAAAAATTGAGTTTTGTCCCGTTTTGTCAAAAATGCAAGGCTAACCCTTTACCATTTTGAAATTTTGAGAAAAATTGAGTTTTGTCCCGTTTTTGCAAAAATGCAAGGCTAACCCCTTACAGTTTTGAATTTTGATAAAAATTTAGTTTTGTCCTGTTTTTTGTTAAAAATGCAAGGCTAACCCCTTATCATTTTGAAATTTGGATAAAAATTGAGTTTTGTCCCATTTTGTCAAAAATGCAAGGCTAACCCCTTACCATTTTGAAATATTGATAGAAATTGAGTTTTGTCCCGTTTTTGCTAAAATACAAGGCTAACCCCTTACAGTTTTTAATTTTGATAAAAATTGAGTTTTGTCCCGTTTTTGCAAAAATGCAAGGCTAACCCCTTACCTTTTTGAAATTTTGATAAAAATTCTTCTTTGGGTGAGAATTTCTCGAAAAGTCAATGTTAACCCACCAAAAAAATGAAAAGAAAATGAAAGAGGACATGTTGATCACCATATTTCTGTGCAACTTAAATACCCGTGAGAGTTCTGAGTATTTTTAAAAAAATTTTGAAGTAAGGGCATTTAGCACTAGTGTTTATGGGAATTTTAAAGCAGGGTTGCACCCGTAGCCAAGCACATGCGTGATTTTAACGGTGGCCATGAAGGACGCCCTCAACAAGTGGCGATCAAGGAAAGACTTTTATTTCATTACAAAATCAAACAAAACTCATTTTCCCTTAATTGTCTTGTACACGAAACAAAAGGCAAAGTTATATCTTGACAGACTTTTTTTTCTTCTTATTAGCATCAAAATTAAAGCCAGTTACCTACAGATATGTAATGCCTAACGAAAGAAATGTAGTGACGCCAATTTGCAAGTGTATAAACAACAAAAATTTAATGGTCATCTCACCTACCTTGTTTCTAAGATAATCATCGAGTCACAAAGTGAGCAAGCAAGGCGGGCGAAGAGCTATATGAAGTTAATCCACTGTCGAAGATGGAGGACGTATCAAGGATCAAAATTAGGACAAGACACGAAAATAACATTGATAATGGTTGATATTTGTCTAAAACAACTCCCTAGTATTTTTGTTAACCTGCTGTCGACCACTACATCGTCTGCACTGGCACTGCAAATTCAAAAATCCGCCACGTGCTAATGCATTGGTAGGTTGTATGCGCACGCTTGAGTACACGCAGGACCATTAATTTTTGGTAACAATAGGTAATTATCTTAACAATAGCAGACACACAAAAGTGCTTCTACGCACTGGTATTTGTCAAGTATCATCCAGTTTTAGAAATGGGGAGTCCACGTTTTATTTTAATTCCTCGTTTTTTTGCGCCTCCTTCCCTTCACTGCTTTAGACATGCCCTTGTGAAGTCATACGTCTGATCTTTAAAGCGTGAAACGTGTTTTTGCTAAAGAACGCAACTTTCGGTCTACCACGTTGTAAAATAAATCAATTTTCGTGACGCGTTTGATAAAATAGATCATTCTTTTTTGGACTCGACAAACCCACGCAGTAAAGACCGAGAAAAACAACTTAAACCCAAATACAAAATGTAGAGCCCATTTTGTTTTCGGTCAAAAATATAAAACCGGAAGTGGCGATGTTGCGGTATCTCTACTGCGACTCCCGTCACATTATTATCAAGTGCTAAACAGACTGTAAATATCCTGTGCAGTGGACTTTGGAGTGGAATTGTTTGAACAAACTTTGTGTGCAATCCATGTTGGCAAAATACCGGAGGTATTTCATAATTATTTGTTTGTTTTCAGTTGTTTTGTTTTTGGCGGTTACTTTGCTGGTGCGAATAACACCACGTGGATTTCTGTGAATTCGATGTTTGAGGTTTTGTTACCGACTGAACAATGGAATTGCACAATTTCAGTTGTTTGGAGGGGGGGGGGGGGATTACCAACTTTAGCCAATCAATGCCAGTTCAGTAAAGCTTACGAGCATGATGGCAGTAACTCTGGAATGCATGCTGTACAAAATATTGAACCTTTCAAGTGATCTTTTAATCCATCTGGATCTCATGATTTGACGCTATCGCATATCTTGGCTTCTTAATGCGTGAAATACTGTCAAGTCTCAGTTGTTTGGATTTCTGAGGTCTATATCGTGAGGTCTTTTTTAGGGTTTAGTCTCAAGTCAGACATTGTGAAATCTTAAGCATTATGGTCAAGTTCCAAGTTTCCAAGCTTCTGCAGGTTTAAAAAATATATATTTACGGTATAATCTCAACTCTTTATTTATTCAGTCTTTTATTGCCAAGTATCGTCCAACCTAAGAATGGAGCTCTTGGTGCAAACACACCCGACACTTCCATCAATAACCAAAGCAGCAATAAAAAGACGCACACTAGCTCACAAAGAACTCCTTGAAAATTAAATATTTATTTGCTTTACTGTACAAAAAAACTTGCAAGTGAAATTCTCATATAATATATATACAAATATAATTCAACTCAATAATTACACTATACAGCGACATGTAGGTGCAAAATGGCCACACATTTTTGTTTCTTGTTTGTTTTTACTCATGTACAAATCAATCCAAATAATATTGCATAATAATAGCTTCTTTTTTTTAGTTTCTTCACATCCAACATAAATATACAAACATGATCAATGAAAGACGAACATTTCTGTCTTGCTGTTCAACTTTATAGTCGAACCGACAATACTTTCTGGAAAGTAACGTTAATTTTTCACTAAATTTGATAATTGCAAAATGAATACAGTGGGCGAATTACAAAATCACAGTGATTTAAATAAATAAAGGGAAAATATTTAAACAGTCAAAACCTCTGCCTGGTCTTACTTTAAAAGACAGATGGCTAAAAATTTATATAAAAGGTAACACTCCTAAAAAATAATCGAGCGCCAAATATAAAGATCATAATGTTCTTGTTGAAAGGTTTAGACAAGAATGAGCCATGAGAAGAGTTTGCTTCCAGAGTCTGATAAATACTGCCTTTGAAATAAACTCTTCGTGCTTATATAGACTACCTCTACAAGAAATGCCCACTGATGCCTCAAATTACTCTCTTTACTTCCAATGTGTTCCCGATATCAACCAGTATAAACATAGATACCATTCCAACTCCCATAAAGCAATATTCTGGGGTCACGTGAGCATAGAAAAATCTGTTCCCAGTCCTTTTTTCACTTCATCTTGAAAACTGTTCTTGATTTTCTTACCAGTTCTGAAAGTCTTAATTGCTCCGTAGTTGTGGGAACATACACTCGTCTGTACGAGGTATTTGTGGGGACCGAAAATGCTGTGGCAGTGTGGGGACAGCAGAAAGTCCCCATAACTCGGTCCTAATTACCCTAACAATGAAAAACGTCCCCATAACGCTGTGTATAGGCAGGGCCAAGAGCTACACACAAATTTGCAAGCAAAACACCAAACAAGTTTGCTTTTCAAGAGCTGATACCATTACCTGCCAGTTGCCAACGTGGCCAGTTGCCAACCCTCACTAGCAGTATTAATTGACGAGAAAGAAGTTTGTTATGCATATTTCTACGAACAAAGTGCAAGAATTGCAGTCACCTAAAATGAATCGTTTAATAACAAACTTCCATTGTTTGCAAAGTTATACCAAAACGGGGAATAACAATTTGAATACAGAGGAAGTCCAGAGTCCTCTGGTTTGATCGGCTTTATCCGTGAATTCAATCAAAACAGCTGACAGTGTTTGTATTTCATTTAATTTTAGACCTTGCTCACGGAGTGCGTGTATTTTTGCATATCTACACACATCTGAAATACATAACATAGTACAGAGTAGAAAAGGAGTGCTTGTACGTGGGAATATGTCTGGCAAATATTCAGACTCAAATAGTCATTAATGTTGTCATTGGAGACTAAAAGCCGTACATGTATGCTTTCTGTCTCCCAGGTGGTAGACTGCCTGATACTGTGTACGGCAGTACAAGGTTCAAATCCCACTTTGGTCAATTTTAAATTCAAATGTGAGAGTGGGTAAAAAAAAAAAAAATTCTGCGGATGCCAAGTTACTTTTCAAACTCCACAATTGTAACATTGTAAACACGATTTCATTATCAAACATGGAATATGACTTGAAATAAATGTTTGCATTGAAATGCTTTCTAGGAAGAAAACGGATCCGTGCTATAGTTTTCAAATCAGGAAGAGAAGTGTTTGCGCTAATCTGCATAAGTGTTTTTTGTTGTCACTTGCATAATTATAGTGCATTGCGTCTGTGAATAACCTCTATTCACAACATTTCTTGGAGTTCCAACGTGCTTATGGGGAAGTGGGCACCGGTAGCAGTAACAAAAAAATTGCTGCAATGTGATCTTTTCTTTTGTTTCAAATGGAAGATCATTTGGAAATGAGGTTCGGGTTTCTTTTAGCAAGTGTGAAAAGGAGGATACTTCATCATGAATATTTTGTGCGGATCGTGGAATCCGTTATGTATAAGTTGACCGAATCAGCAGCAGGCTAGACATCCCCAAATTGGGACTAAAAAGACCACTGTATACTGTTATCAAAGTACAAGGATATTTTGCATCCAAACGTATTAACTACACGTGTAGGTAATCAAAAGTTTAACCTTTCTGCTTCCTTTTATGCATCCTTTGTGACAACAATCATCTTAGAAATCCGAGTAATAATTATTTTTCACTACAATCTTGCGACATCACGTGTCATTCATATATATTGTGTACATTTTACACAAGTGCCATTTTCCCCTATTCTTTAACTACTTACACCATACAACATACATGTACTCGACACACTCTTTATCAAAAACACTTTTTTTGGTCCATCACATGTTAACACCTTGTACTTCTTTTGCAGGTTTGTGCTGAAAAAAAATTCTGACGATGTAGAAAAGTGGTACATATTTAACACACAAGTAGGTCACCAAAATCACAACTGACAATACACTGAATACAGATACCTCTTCCACTTTACAAATGTTTGGAGCTTGAACTAGCACGACAAATACTGCCATATTGTACTCATTACTACTCTTTATAATGAATGCATCTTAGACATGACACGGTTCTTTTAGTAGAAATTGCCAATTTTGCCTTTTTAGTTTAATGAAGTAATGAATCTTTTTCTGAGCTGGTTGTTTTTGTGTCAGCAAAGACTCACAAAGACGGCAGCGACTGCACAAACTGTTGCTTTGACACAGCAAACTCTTTGAAAGAACGTTTTGTGTCTTGCAACATTCTTTCAAATTGTAAAGTACTAATTTTCTTCTCACAGATATCTAAGACAACAATTTCAAGTACAGATACCAGATACCATGTGAGAGATAATTGCAGCAAAAGTTTTTCTTTTTGTCATAGATTGAGATATTCATTAGAGCTTTCTACCTTCCGATCCTCACTGAACACCACAGCATCCACATCGGCAGTGAAATTGATTCCGGTGTCTTGGCCCATGGACTGTCTCCTGTTGGCTTCAATTTGGTTGTATTGGATACTAGAAGGAGCTGAGGATGTGCCACTGTTATCCGCCAGGGAGCGGGGGTTCTCCGTCATGAACTGGTTAAGGCTTTCGCTGAATTCCTCGTCATCTAGGATGTCCACTTCCACAGGGTTATCGATGCTTTCCATACGAGATTTCAGGCTAGCACGCCGCGCTACATTCTCCGGGTCGATGCTAGCATAGTTGTGCTTGTGGCGTGGCCGGGATATATCCAGCTTGACGGCACCCTCGGAGCCACCCCGCTTGCGCAGGAAGCGGTCCATGAAGCTCATGCTGGACTTCCGGTCTCGCGGAGGGGTTGCCGCAGTCCGAGCGGGACGCTCCCGCAGGCTCATGGTACGCTGACTGAAGCGCGTCGGAGAGAGTGCACTCACCTCCCCGCTCACTGTCGCCGAGCGTTTCAGTTTAGACTGCAAGAAAGAGGTCTTCTCCCCAGAGTGTAAGGGACTCTGAGGCATGGCCTGAATCACGGGGCTGGACTGCTGGCGAGACTGGAATCTTTTGAGCTTCTCCTCATACACTGGCTTCATGATGAGATAACCATCGCCCTCGGCATCCTCATCATCCTTAGGATCACGGCACCAGGCTGTGCCATCACCAGGTGTTGTGAACACAACAGAGGGATCTGTATTGCAGCGTTTCCGTCTCTGAACGTTCATGGTAGACTTATCCTCCAATGACCGGCCCTTTGTCTCATCTGTAACAAATAAAAGGTGGATATCACAATTTAAAATTTGTTCTACTGTAGTCAAAAGGCGAGCTTTGTAAGTTGTAATCATTGGATGTGCTTCATCAACCATCTCTTGGTAATTTGATCTACACAATTACCATCTTCCAAGGATGATCTGAAGTTGTACATGGATATGTCAAGTATCCCCACATCAATAGAAATTCCCTGAGTAAGGAAGGGTAGAATACTTCAATAAATCTGGTACAAACCTAATGAGTTCTCAGCTCGCTGAAACGATTGCCTTCTTCTGGTGATATAGGATGTGACGGACGGGGCGCTAGATATTGGACTCTCTGGTCTACGTTCTATCGATCCTTTCCTCGCATAAACAAATGTTTCAGAGTCCTCATCTCTTTGCCCAAGCATCCTCTGGAAATCAGGATCAGACTTTCGAGACGGAAATTTCATCGTCGCAACATCAACGGGCGGGGATGAGGAACGTTCATCGTGACTGCGGGAGTGGATTTTGGCAAAACCTCTCTGGTACGAGGCTCCAACGGACGACTGCCGCGGCCGGCTGAAGGATGCGCCACGGGAGATCTGAGCGTCAAGTAGTGATTCGCTCGCCGAACTGACTGACTCGCTACTGCTGCTGGATACACTGTTGAGTCTGAGCATTGCGATGGGTCCAACAGGCTTCACCAAGTCCCCGTGATGGAACGGAACAGGAATGTCACTCTGAATGTCTCTACTAGTTGAGCGGTTGCGGGACCTTTTCCCTGTATTGGGCAAATCCTCCAGCATGCCTTGCAAAGTGCTTGCTGGCAGAAGATCATCAAACGGTGCGGGGAGGTTATCAGAGCGCTCCATGGAAGGTTGAACTGACAGGCTTCTGGTTTTGCCCGTCTTGCTGGCTGCAGGTTTGGAGTTCTCACTCTCGTGATATTTCATGAGTAAATAATCCTCGTTAAGTGGCAAGCTCATCGACCGTGCATGTGCGGAATTACTAGCAAACGTTGGTGTCTGCTTTTCAGCTTTCTCCAGTTTTGTCTCCAAAGCAGGTACATGCACGTGACTCCTATTGAGGTTTTCCCCATCCGTTGGACCCTGTTGGTTTGACCGTTTGCCATTCTTGGGCGGGGGTAGATTAACATATTCATGCTCTTCCCGCTCACTGTCCCCACTCTGGGATTTCTTGCCACCTTGACAGATTGCACAGGCCTCGTGAAGGTCCCCTATGTGAGGTGCGTTCCCGTTTGAGGAATCCTCGGCCTCTCGCAGGTGATTAAAGGAGGCCATGACCTCGTAGTTCTGCTCCCGAATGGGAGTGGTCTTCTTGGGGGACCGGAGACCGTCGCAGGTGTTGAAGATGGTCTCAACACTGCTGCCACTGCTGCTACCGCTACTGCCCCCTCCAACCCCCCAGGACTGGTCCATCTCAATCATCTCGATAAAGCGTCCGCCGAGTGCCTGGTTGCGTTGCAGCTGGTTCCTGCGATTAGAACAGTGTTCCAGCATCGCGGGACTCCTGACTTGCGTTGGGTTTGTACCTGATGGGTAGGGGTACGTGCCTCCGGGGCTATTACCACCTGACTGATGGTCATTGTTTCTGCTCGATGCCAGCAGGCAACGCATCTCTTCTGAGAAGTCTCTCCTCCTTGGGGCCAGCTCCTCATGAATGGACACTGCCAATGGAAAATTATGTATAATTAAAAACCTCCTGACGATGACTAGAGCAGGCTCGTCAAAATGTTGAGACCAAAGACAAGTTATTTTAGAACTTAAAGCAGGACTGTTCTTATTAGAACAAAAATGACTTAGCGAAAGATGATAATAAGCAGGACAAGTTCTTTTCAGAACTAACTATCTTCTAAGCAGTAGTTATTACCACATGGTGTTACCGCAAACCGAAACGATACCGATACTCCACCATGCAAAGCCTCAAATCTTATAATTTAAAACCTCTTGATTAACAGTGATCTTTCCAGCATAGTCTGAGTAAATATGGACAAGTTTTTAATCCATGAATGGGTTGTTAGAACACAGCCTCAATCGATTATGTCACTTGTATTACGTTGTACGTGAGGTTGTGGTATAGATGTACCAGGGTGCTTGCCAATTAATGAGTCGAGTTATGCCTTTGATTTGTGTTTACGCACAGTGGCATTATACAAGCGCTACAGTGCACTGTTAACTACTTACCCGTGCTGGATACATGAGACCACCTGTTGGAGGAAGGGCTGCAGGTGGCAGCATCGAAGTGGGATTTAAGAGATTCCGCATGCTGCGTGATCACGACAAATGCACCCCCATCTGTTGATGACACAGGTAAAAAAATATTGGTTATTATATTAGTACGTCAGAAAAAATTACCGGGGAACAATGATTAAAATTTTTGTTAGCAGTGCAGTAGGAAAACAGAAGTCAACTGATTTCAAAATCTTGTGACAGTGTGTGGTAAGTGTCTCAATTTATAGATTTAATGAGATTTGTTCTAAGGGGGGGGGGGGGGGGGGAGCTCTATTCCTGGGTCACCTTTAATGAGCCCTAGGTATGTACAGAATACCCTTGTTCAACAGAGGGTTGTAAATTAAGTCCATCCAAATCCTTACAAGTGTATCACAAGACAGACTTGTGATTTGACGGTGGTGGACTTGTGTTTTGACTTGTGATTGGACTGTGGTTCAAAAAGACAAAAGATTCAAGTCTCACCTTTACTGGTTGACCTGACTTCGAAGGCGAATCCCTCCTCGATGATTCCATATCGGGAGAGGTTTGCCAGACTCCAGCTGCCTATCAGCCGAGAGGGCACCTCGTCAGTAATGGCAAAGTGGTTGTCATGGAAATAGAGGAGGCCTGGGCCGGGCCGGAGACGACCGCCATTGGGCACCTCCACCGTGCATTTGAATTTAGTGGCTGCTGCAGGAGGAAATGTTTCATACATTATAAGTTTATTTTAAAATTATAAAGCTCTTCCAAGGACCCACTTTACACAAAGTTGTCATGGGTCGGAACACATCACAGTTGAAATTTAGTTGTGTATTTCCTTAAGTGTGCAGACCAGTGCGCATACAGTGTGTCTTTCATGGGCTTCACACAGCGCAATCTACATGTATAATCACTACAGTGAGTCCGTAAGGTCGTTCCAAATAATCCTAGAGCATTTTGCAGTGAAAACATGAAGGTACCTGTATTAACGGAGGGTTATAATGAGCAATGTATAGGTACAAAATAATTGCCAGAAACAATATTTATACTACCGTTATATTTATAGTTGTACCAGAAAAACAGGAAATGTCAATTATAGTTGAAAATCTATGAGTACAGCTGAGATACTAACCATTTCCTAGCGTCACATACGTCTTCTCAAACCACGTCAAGAGGTCCTTGTGGCAAGCAAATGAGAGCAAGACGATCTGATCCAGGCAGATGATGGTCAACACGAAGGGGTTCTTGGGATGTCGGACGCAGGATTCCACCCCGCAGAAGTTCTGCGCCGAGAGCACAATCTGCTCTCGTCGGATCTCTTTGCCCGACAGCAGCTGGTCCTGACCCTTGTAGAATTTCAGGACAATTTGATCTGGAGTTGGAAAATCGGGAAAATGAGGAACATGAGAGTGCTTTAGAGTAAGACTTCAAAAAATTGAAACACTGATGCTGTGGCACAGATACTTTTTGTCCAGTCACAAACAAGCTGTAGCTGTCTGCCTGCCAATCTCCATTTTTGGGGTTGCCGTTAACAAGGGTACATGTAGAAGCAAGTTTTGGTTCATGAGAGTCCAAACGAACCATGAACTACAGGAAGACAGACTAAGACATAAAGATGTGCAACAAGCTACAGTGAAGCATACAATGTAGATTATCTTTAACCATAACGTTCCATGCTCAATTAAAAAGATTCTTGATAATTCAAATGAACACTTGAGGGTTAGGGTTAACTGTATATCTATAACTTGTATAACTAACGTAATTACAATACCGCGATCTATGGAAATTAAATTAATCCATACTTCTAATTTTTTTTTTTTTCAATGGACAAGCAAAATGACTGCTGGTGGCAACTATAGTCACAAGCACTCAAAAAACCTGTACATATTCTGTCCCATCATTTCTCAAACAAGCCTTTCTTCAAATTTCTCAACCTCATACTATAATGCAAATATTTCACCCCCCCCCCCCCCCCCCCCGCCCATGTGACACATACATGTACAACTACACTGTAATTACTGGATGAATCTTCTTTCTTCACACATCGAGCCACCTGTTGAGTCCAAGACTTAAGCTGAAGTTTGCCCTTTTTCCCCCCTGAATCCCACATTTCTTAATTCTCCTTTTGGCAAGATTACCCCCTTTCTATTTCATTCAGGGCATCCTCTCTTGTTGATGAGCAGAGGGATGGAAAATCCCTGCTCCAAGTCTGGACAACAAGAGTGGCTGTTGACAAAGGATTCTGAGATGTTGGTGGGGCAATCTTAAGCTCTCAAAGGGTATGTGTGGGCGCCAATGCACGATGGAGACTTTAGCAATGTCTCGTGTTATGATTCACCCAGCTTAAAGTAGTCAACATTATTTTCTTACATGCCCAAGCCTTGGGTCAAAAGAAGTTTTTGCCTTATCAGAGCTGCCAACATTAGCATCTTGCAATCAGGGAGATTTGGTACAACAATCAGGGAGATATTTAGAATTACATTCAATATAATATTAATAAGGAAAAAGGTTCCATAATCAGGAAGATTTTTTAAATTGTTCATCAGAACATGGAAAAATTAGGTTTTTTTCGGGGATCTTTCTGCAGAATCAGGGAGAGTTGGCAGCTCTGCCTTATAAACCCCAATGCTCTCAGATCCTTTAAATTCCACAAGGAGGGTTTTGACAGATTTTGCAGGATTGAGGACGGTACGGTAGAACCCAAACAAATACATGTACATACAGCTGAGCTTCATGCCAACTAAACTGACAATTACAGAGACTTTGTTGTTTAGTTTCTTCACAGTGGTAGATTTTGGAGGATTTAGAAAAGTTCTAACGTTAGGAACTTGAAGGCCTTTTTTATAAGCATAAAATGTGATGTCTGTTACTAAATCACGGTTTAACCATGATTTGAGTAATAACCCAAACTCCCTACTTAGTTTTACTAAGTAGAAGACCATGTCCATCAAAATCCATCGCTCACTCTGCTTCACATAATGCTTCAGGAACAAATCCATTGAAATCCACCACTGGTGCTGGTGGATTGTGATGGACTTTGTACACATGGCTTATCTGCCAAAATCCCCCAAAATGAGAGGATGGATTTGGATGGAGTTGGTACATGTAAGGATAGGGTTAATTCAAATTTTTCTTTCAAATGCACCGTATTGTTTCCTTCAAATCAAATATATTACAACTTTGTGTGATTTGCAGCAATTTAACTTTCTCTAGCCCTAACTGTATTGATTCAATAGTACAACTTGTATTTTTGGGGTTGCCACAATACATACAACTTGTATTTTTGGGGTTCCTGACGATGACTAGAGCAGGCTAGTCGAAACGTTGAGACCAAAGACAAGTTCGTTTAGAACTTACAGCAGGACTGTTCTTATCAGAACAAAAAACTACTTAGCGAAGTTGATAATAAGCAGGACAAGTTCTTTTCAGAACTAAATATCTTCTAAGCAGTAGTTATTACCACATGGTGTTTCCGCAAACCGAAACGATACCGATGCTCCACCATGCAAAGCCTCAAATCTTATGCCACACATTTTGTCATGAGCATGCCGCTTAATCCCACACATTATTCGTGGCAAGGATTTTACACTTCACATATTGGAGAATTTTGTCGACGTGTTTTAATTAGACATCAACATGCAAACAGACCAAACCGTATAATTTCTAAACAAATCGCCATCTGGTTAGTTACTAATAATTAAACTTCCAGTTCCAGTCACCAAACTGCACATACGTAGGCCTACGTGTGCATTTACATGTAGTACACATATTTGTTGGCTAACATCACGACTTTCCGGGAACGCGGTATTGTTCGATTAATCAATACAGCTATGGCAGAGTTAATATCTACGACCCTGTCTACATATGTTCATTTGTATGTATCTACAAAAACTGATCAACAAATCAATCAAATACTAATTCTTTTTTTTTTTGACCGAGAAACATGTTATGACGAGCACGTGTTTTTTCTGGACAAGTTTTGGCGCTAAGATTATATTTGCTGTATTGATTTGCATGGAAAGGATGGAAATATTTCACACTCGATTGTGAGTTTCTGGGCATCATGTGAGCAGGGATTTATCTTATCTCATGATTTTTGTTTCGAATTCACCTTCAGATGAAGGGTTACTGAAGCAACTCATGAAAACTCACACAACAACATTCGGGGCTGTATTTCACAAACCTCACTGTGTTTGAGTATCACAGAGCACTGCACCTTAATATTTTGGCTAACAGTGCAAAATCCCACCTTTTTTTCCCAAACGCTTTTCAATAAAGCTCCACACAAGAGGCGGCTATAAAAAGAAAGAAAAAATCTATACAAAGCAGGTAGGAAGCAGAAGCTTAGAATAAACACTTCAACTGTACATTTTACTAACACTCTTTTGCGTTTCTACCCTAGGGCCAGAAATGTCGCTGGCTGAAAGGACTATTCAAGTAGAAAGTTCCTACACATCACACAAAGAATAAAAAAAAACCAGCATGGGAATGGAAGCTCCCATTTCTCACTTCAAACTCTGCGATGTTTTGTGTGCCACAAGATATTTGATTGTACACACTGCAAATTACACCACTTGCTGCTATTTCTTTACCAAGCTGAATTTGACGTATAAAATTAACATTTTATACCATTTCTTGTTCTTACGCGGTTCAAAATGTACAGAAATATCAGCATTTGCCGTGGGGTGTGGTGAGAAACAACCGCAGGTATTGTGGTGGCCAATTTGTTTCTGCAGGACTATTGATCAAGTGCCTTTAGCAAGTGAGTGGTGGTGGAGATGGTGTTGTTTGCGGTGATCCAAACAAAAAGTTGAAAGTGCTACGGCCCGTCAACCCGCTCCGGCCAATGCAGATGCAAATGAGGCTGGCTTTTGTTGGCGCGTTCCAACAGGATTAAACTCCAGGATGTCTTATAAGAATGGAATGCAGAACCAACTTCTATCCGTACATGTACATGTACCGGTATTCACCGTTATTGGGTGGTGGTTGGGGGAGGGGCAGAAGGGGTTCCATAAATAGATTTCTGAAGTCAGACATTTCTCTTAATAACATACTGTGATTATTTAATGGTACAGTACACACACGAGAACCAATAATCCATCATTACAGGAAAAAAATTGTATGGGTTCGAAAGTCAGACAATTAAATATAACTTACATAAATTTGTCACCATGATCACTCAGTTACTTTATATAGTTTCAAGTCTTTTAAAGTTTCAATGCAAAAGGAGGAAGGAATGTAAATGCAAAACTGATTGAAACTAAAATGAAAACGAACAAGCTTTGAGTTGCCTAATATAAGTTGCGTTTTATTTCCTTTCTTTTTCACAGAGTGAAAAATATTGGTGATTTTTTTTTACACTTCTGTCAGTGTTTATATATTCTACATATTAATTAAAACAGACACAGAACCAGTCCTACACAAGATGGCTAACATTTAAGTCCAGACTGAGAAATACCCAACTGGGAGGAAACAAGTAAATTGTGAAATTTCTGGAATGCCAAGAGAGCAACAGATAATACAAAAGTTCATGAATAATGAAGGGGGCGACACCAGAGTGTCTTCCTTCGGCCTGAGGCCATGCTGGACCTACTTCCCCAATCGATGTCTGTCTTTAAGAAGAGGGAAAGAGATGTTTTGCATGCTGTGCCAAAAAGGCGCGCCATTGTCCCCTGGTTATTAAATATTAATGCAATCATGTACGCAGCGAGTGGACTGGGTAATTCCATCAAGTACTGGGACATGGTGTTGTGTGGCTGTGTTTACCAAAGATTTGTTGAGGATTAAAAACTTGGGTGTCTGTACACATGTATATACCGGTACATGTAGGATTATTCACAATGGATGAAACTTTGGGGCATGTGGCCTACATTGTAATGTGGATTTTGTTGTATTACCTAATCTCACTCACTCCCAAATTCACTTGTAAGCAATATGTTATGTACATGATTTTATCTTGCAGTAAGGATTCACTTTGAGATTCAAGCAATCCAGTACCAGTAATCACCTTGGGGTTTCAAGCAATACCAGTCTGTCTGTTTGTTTGTTTGCTTGGTTGTTTGGCCATTTGGTTTTTATCAGGTGACACACTTTCAGCATCTATATCATTTCTTACCAGACGTGTAACTCGGAGTAACCAAAAAGAGGAAAATCTAAGCTTCACAAGACTTTATATAGTGTTTTTCAATTTTTAATGGCATTAATTGTGATGTGAAAAACGAGGAAATAAGCTGATCGGAGGAAAAGTTGCATGCTGGTCGAAAGTCCCTGCATTTTTTCATTGGAATGTTTCCTGAAAGCACACTGCAGCTTAGGTGTAACACAGTAGCCAGTATTTGTTGCACAATGCAGTGGAGTTGCATGCTGAGCTTA